AATAATAATAATAATAATAATAAATTAATCTAAAATGTATACAATTTAAATAAATGATGATAATGCTGATAAAAAATGACATTAAAAGGAAATTTTTTTTTCAACTTTTTAAATTTAACAAAAAAAATTATCTATGATAACTTTTTAAATTTGCCATTAGTTTAAAACTTTTAATTTACATTTGATTTAATTTTTATCTTTTAGCAGAAATTCATTTGGTTAATTAATAGACTAATTAATAAAACAATTATAAAAAAGAAAAAAATTTATGCATAAATATTGTAATGAAATTTAATGATATTAATGATCGAATTTTTATGTCGAAAAATGACCAATACGAATATCCTTGAGAAAGGGTCATTTTGTAATTTATGATAGAAAAATTTAAAATTAAATATTCTACCCATATTGATATATGTATGTATGTATGTGTGTGTGTGTGTGTGTATGTATGTGTGTGTGTATGTTCAGTCAGTCTGTCTGTCCGTCCGATTTGGGTGTACCATAAAATTTATTGTTCTGGACGTTTATTTGAAGGAATAGAATCTTTCTTCCTTCAAATGCCACGCCTTCATTTATAAAGCATATCATTTCGTCCAGTGAAATATATATATATATATATGTGTATATAAATGTGTTTATATGTATGTGTATGTATATGTATGTGTATGTATGTGTGTGTGTTGTATGTGTAGTGTATGTTGTATTTGTATGTGTATATGCACACATATTTATGTTTATTGTCATTATCATTAAGGTGTATATATACGAATTAAATTTTTTTTTTTACTTCCATATGTTTATGTAAATTTTATCTGTTTGTTATTTACAGATGACAATTTTCTGAATGATATAACGGATTCTCGAATATTCTATTTACCTGGAAGAGAAAGGGAAAAAAAAAAGGAAAAGAAAAAAAGAAAGAAATTATTTTGTATTACTATTATTGATCCGATCATCTAATCACTATTTATTCATTCTGAATCAGTGAATATTTCCTCTAAATTTGGCATAAAAATTCTCGAAAACAAACAAACAAACAAACAAGTAAACAAATAAAGTGGCAAAGAAGAAAGAATACGAAGAAAAACAAAACGAAAAGAGAGGGAGAGAGAAGGAAAGAAAGAGGGAAAGAGAGAGGGAGAGAAAGAGAAAGAGAAAGAGAAAGAGGATTTGTGTAAATTTCAACTTTATTCCTTTCAAAATATCAATGTTTCATGTATTAAAAGAAACCATATTTCTTCTACTATTTTTTGCGGTAACGCAAATTATTACTGATTCGGTTTCCGGTATTCCGGTACGTGAATTTCAAATAATTACTGATCCTGAAAGAGCAGTAGTTGCTGATGGTGAACCAATCGATTTATTAGTTTCATCACGTTTTGGTGATAAACAAAATAATCAACGATTATTTGGAACATTTTCGGCTGCGGGAAGAAATTATGAAACTTCTGGTGATATTGTACAGGTATATTTATATTTAAATAATTTTATTTCAGTAATTAAATATGAAATTATTACAATTATTTGTTGTAATTATAGCTGAAAGTAAGTTAAGTTACATTTGTTTCTATTCATGATTACTGTAATATTTATTTAATTATTGAACGAATAAGCGAAATAATTTTAAAATTTCAATTGAAAAAAAATTGTCAAAAAACTGGTCGTTTTTTTTTTTTTTTTTGTTTTCTTTTCCTGTTTTCTCTTAGAATAAGATAATAAAATAAGATGGCATTTATTTGAAATGAATAATTGTTAGATTAAATTTTTAATAAAGAGTGAAATCTTATTAAAACTTTTTTGAAAATTATATTAAATCTGAAATACTTTAATAATTTCCTGATTTAAAAAAAAAGAGTAGCATTTTCTGACCTCTTTTTCCAATAATTTTAATTTATTATTGGAAATGATTGGTGGATTTTTTTTCTCTTCTTCACTTTTTTTTTTTCTTTTGGATTTAATGAATATAATTTTTCGAAAAAAAAAGGACGAAACTATAGTGAATGCTAAAATTTAACATTAATTCTATCAAATTTTAGATTATTATATGAAAAAAAGCGAAGAAATAGAAAACATTTGTTATGGTATATATTATCATTTTATTGCATCATTTCAAATGCAGAAAAATTTCTATTTCAAATTGATAAAATTGATATATTTGTTATAGAACTGAATTAAATTATACCTTTTTAATAATGAAAATAATAATAATTATTTTTAGTATTACGGTATAAAATTAATGCCATAATAAAAGAAGCGAAAAAAATAAATATATAATTTGAAAATGATTTCGAAACCTTAAATTATATCATTTTTCATCTTCTTTAATTATATATGATTTCTTATACAATTGATAAGCATATCAATTTGTTCAGTATGAAAATTTTAAAATGATTAACAAATAATAACTGTAAAGGGTTAAAAATTATAACGAAGAGAAAAAGGAACTGAAATAACAATCGGTGTCATATTTCACATTATTAATTAGAATAATAATAATAATAAAAATAATAATGATAATAATAATAATAATAATAATAATAATAATAATAATAATAATAATAATAATAATAATAATAATAATAATAATAATAATAATAATAATAATAATAATAATAATAATAATAATAATAATAATAATAATAATAATAATAATAATAATAATAATAATAATAATAATAATAATAATAATAATAATAATAATAATAATAATAATATAAT